GAATTGAAGATGTAGAATTAGCAATTGGAGTCGGATTTGTTGACGCCATTGATGAATCTTCTCAAACCAGGTGAAATAACCAGAAACGATGAAGAATCGAGAAGAAATTGCGAAGAAAGATCGCGATTCGCGAAGAAATTTCCAGAAAATTGCTATGAAGAAGAAATCACAGTAAGAGGTGAAACGAAAACAGAATCTATGGAGAAGAATCGAAGTATAGAGAAGAAAAAATCACAAAATCAAACGCAAATTTGAGCGGATTTGCGCTCTGATACCATATTAGAACCCAGCAATGTTGAAGATGTATGAAGAACTAGTGAGAGAAAGTAGAGAGAGATTGTAAAGTTTGTTATGAGATTAATGTTCTGAGTTAACGAATTACAGAGTTCGTTACATCAATTATATAGTGGTTTTGACCATCATAAACCAACACATTAAACCGGTTAAACCAATCTGATTAAATAATCTCAATAGAGTTCGTTCAAATTCACTTATTAGATATTCATGTGGTTATCGACAACTACAAATTCGATGAAGCCACAAAGATGATGACTCTAACGGATATATACAGATCTGATGGAGGTGAAGACATGATGATGTTGCTGTGAGTATGAGCATGAGCCAATTAACGAGTTCGTTCAGTTTTCATGGTGACATGAGACGATGGAGATACAAAACTACTACAGTATTCTCTATCGAATCGATGACCTTATGGCGAGGTATAAACGTCATTGATAACCCTACAGTGGGTATAAAGACTTTGAAGATGACCTCATGGTTGTCCAATCTCATAGGTGTTACCACGTATGAGCTTGCAGGAGGGAGTTAGGAGATCTCGGGAATTACGAGATCGAGTTGAAAAAGAAAGTTAATATTTGTGTATAAATATCAAATATGTAAAGAACTTGTTAAAAGAAGTAATATTATTGTATAAATAGGTATATTGGCTAATCAATAAAACTGGAAGAAACTATTCTACTTCTAAGATTTCTTCCAAATCTATGTTATGTTCTTCGTATTGATTATTCCAAATAATCAACATTTGTGATCCTGATTTTGATTCTAATTTAATGAATATTATTTTTTTTCTCTTCTTTATAATCAAAACGTTTTCCGGTTGATTTCGTACTTGTGGAGATTAAATTTCTATATCATCAATGTTATGTTTGGTATTCATATATTGTATTGGTGAAGCTTATGTTGGTGAGTTTGAGTTGAAAATTTTAGTGAAAAATGGAGAGATTAAAAGTACCCAAGCCACTGCATCAAATACAAATTGTCTTAAGCATGCATGAAAGCACGAAGATGTGAGAAAAAGAAATGATGAGTTTGAAACAATAGAAATCGAAAGTTGATAAAACAGAAACTGAGCATGATGGAACACACGCATATCTGACATATACCCCCACCAGTCTATTTTCTTCTAACCGGTAATTGAATATCTTGTTTTAATTTGTCGAAGCTAATGTCATAGACTCATAATTGATTTTTATTTGGTTCCTTTATAAGTTAAACAAATTATCGTTTAATTAAATTTGAAATTTGTTTATACATGTGGAAATTTACTTATCATCTTTTCTCGTCCCGTCCCATTCCCCAAATGGCTACAAAAATCTTGAATTGGATTCCATAGAACCTCTCAAACCTGAAGAAACCAGCAAGAACAAATCAGTAAGAGATCTCACACTCTGATGTTTGATCTTGGTGAAAGAGAGATCACATTATCCATCATACACACCCAAAAAAGATTAAGTCTTTGTCTGAAAATCAGCGCAAATGGATTTCGATTCCAAAGAACACACTAGAGAGAGTTCAAAGATTTGATAAATGTACCTTGCTCTGCAACAAATGGTCTCGATCTTGAAGAATTACACAAGAAGAACATTACTTGAACTTGATCACCCGTAGAAGTATGCATTACCATATCTCACATCTAAGGATTATGCCCTGTATTGTAACCTTATAGGTCCTTCACGAAAAGAAATTATCGAACAAGAGAATGATCTACCCAATCTTCTAGCTAAAAATTATGCTCAATGAGCTCCACATTTCTAGATCAAATCGATTTTCCGATATATCCGAAAACAAGATAAAAACTCAGACCTCCTTTATAATCTCTATCAATCAAGAGCAAGATTTAAAGGACAAAGATTTAAACACATGAAGACATCGCTCAACTTACTAAACATTCTTGCGATAAATTAACAGACTCAAATCACTTGATGATTTCCATCAATCAAGAACTAGATGTAAATAGATCAAAACAAGATCCTTTTGACTCCTACAATGATGAAAGCCAAAAGTAAATGCAATCACCAAATGCTCAAGATCTCTTGATTTCTCTGATTCTATAAACAAGGATTAAGGAACAAACTCCGATTTATACAACAATCCCAAGACACTC